TGGGTGTTGCACATGGGATACGTGTGGAAAGGTGGAGGGGGCGCGAGCGGTCCCCGCGGGTGAGCAACGTCGAGCCGGCACGGGCCCATGCATGGATGCGGAAAAACGTACTGCAGCCGCAGACATCGTCCAGACGTTCGGGCGCTAGCAGTGCCGTTATATTATTGGAGCAATCTTTAACATAGTTACTATTCATGCATGGAGCATCTCCTCGTGGTACGTTGGGTGAGCATCTCCTCGTGGTACGTCTGGCCAACAAAAAAAAGGGCACAAGGGAGATTTTGAAAACATACAAATTTTGCCGGTGTTTGAGTATAAGGAAGTGAATTGCAGTGCAGGTGCATATTTAAACCCCCCAAACTTGCAGATTTTATTTTTTGCAAATACTCCATAGTGAACACGGACGTTTGATTTTCTGAAGGAGCTAAATAAGAATGAAAACAACGCCTCTTGTCGTGAACACAACCATGGGGGGGCATCTTGCACCCAGCATCAGAGATGTGGGGGGACAATTACCTCATCAAATTCTACTCCACACCACCAGAAGAATCAAACAAAAAGCTCATACATACGGCATTGTTCAGCCCTGCTCCCAGATGCTATTTAGTCCAGACGCCTCTCCTCAGGGCCAGACACTACACTAGCATTCTTTCTTTCGCAGCCTCCCGTCTCTCAGTCTCCACCCACCTCCTCTGCTTCTTCTCACCTTCTTCCGTCTTGGTTCAGCCTCCTCTCTTCCTGCTCAGCCATGGCGGCTGCCGAAGAAGGGCCAGAGCCACTCAGGTATCAGGTGAGAAGCTCGGAGTCCAGCCTATCCAAGACGCTGCTGCTGCTCATATTTTGATTGATGCTTCCTTTGGTTAAATGGTTGTGATGTTTATTTATTTTCTTGTTCTCTGTTGCCAGACTCTGGCCTTAAGGGTGAGCATCCACTGTGAGGGCTGCAAGAAGAAGGTCAAGAAGGTGCTCCACAGCATAGAAGGTATGGCATGCTTCACAAGAAACTGGAAGAACAATTTCAAGTTTCATTTTCAGAACCTTCAAGCAGTGAGCAATCTTTTGTTATTTCTTCTAACTAAATCAGGTTAGTTCTTAAAGACTTGACAAAAGTCTGAACAAGTCTTTGCCAGTGTCGCCTATGTACTGCGCTTTTTCGCCTTCTGTTGTTTGATCTTTTTCTTTTGTGTATGTATATTGTTGTTGCACTGATGCACCAGCTCCTCTGATTCTGATCCAGGGGTGTACAAGACGGACATAGACACGCAGCAGCAAAAGGTGGTGGTCATCGGCAACGTCTCCGCCGACGTGCTCGTCAAGAAGCTCCTCAAGTCCGGGAAGCACGCGGAGCCGTGGCCGGAGCCTGCTGCTCCAGCTCCACCGGCAGCCAGCAGCCCGCCCGGACCCGGCGGATCTCCCGGCAGCGGCGGAGGAGGCAAGAAGAAGAAAAAGAAGAAGAGCAACAAGAGCCCCGCGGCCGCGACGAACAACAAGCCCGCCGAGCAAGTGCCCGCGCCGGCGGAGGGTAACGGTGGACCCAGCCCCCCGGAGCAGCACGACAAGGCTGACGGCGGCGCCTCGTGCGACGAGGCATCGGATGGTGAGCAGGATAAGCCTGAGGCTGGCGGCGGCGGCGGCAATGGCTCCCCTGACGCCGGAGAAGCCCACGAGAGCGGTGCGAGCGGCAAGGTGGCCCCTTTCGCCATGACGCCGCACGGCCCGCAGCCCATCGCGCCCGCCGCCAACGGCAATGGCGGCGGCGGCAAGAAGAAAGGCAAGAAAGGCGGCCACGGCAACGGCAATGCCAATGCCAACGGAGACGGCGCCGGAGCGGGCGCCGGTGCAATCGTGGAGGTCCACCCCCCGCCGGACGGACCCATGAAGCCGGCCACCGGCAACTCTGGCCCTCTCACCGTGGTCGACGCCGGACCGTACCCGCCACCGCCGCCAGCCGCGGCGATGAGCTACCCGGGGTACTACGCCGGCGGCGGGGTCCACTCGCCGGCGTACGTCATGAGCTACAGCACGGCGCACCCGAGCTCGGCGCTCCGGAGCAGCGCGTACTACCACCCGATGGCCGGCGCCGCGTACACGCCGGGGGGCGGCGGCGGGTACTTCTACTCGACGGCGCCGGTGTCGGCGGCGCCCGGATCGTACTACATGTTCAGCGAGGAGAACGCCAACGCGTGCAGCGTCATGTGAGAGAGAGGATTATATTAGATGGTTAATCGATCAACTGATTTGGATTAGTAACCGTGAGAAGATGTTGCAAAGCCTGGCTGTGCTAGTTATTAAGCTCTTGTTCTGGCCAAGAACTGGTTGTGATGAGTTTCTTCAACCTTCAACGTTTTGCTGTATCTGGAAAATACATGATTTCTAGATGTGTTATTAGTTATATATTAGAGTAGTTTACTATATGAAATTGCAGCATCATTTGTTTGGTTGTTTAATGATTATTGTTACTACATTTTGCTGCATAACCTACACATATATCTGGGTATTCTTTGATGTATGCATATGGGCTTATGGGCAAGGAAATATGGTGTGAAGAAGGAACAAAGATAATCACAAAAATGCTCTCAAAATGCTTCTTCTACCGGTTGCAACAAATTTCCCAAATTGGCTAGGTAGAGGACGGATCCTGGGAAGCTACTTGCGTGAGTTTTTTTTTTTTTTTTTTTTATGTTCAGCAATACAGTTATAAACATGTGTTATACTACGGGCATGTTTAGTGTGGCTCTAGCTCTGGTGGCAACATCGGCAGAGGAACTGGACCAAATGCCCAAAGAGAAGCCGTTTTTTTAGGGTATGGAAGAGGAGTCGGAGCCATTTTTATCAAAGAAGGAGCTAAGACTTAGGTTCCTATCTTCGGCTCCGGCTCTGGCTCCGGCTCCAACGGAGGAGCAGCTAGGCGAGGAGCCAAGCACTACATACAAAAGTCATCAATCTGTAAAGATACCCGAGTCACAAGGCAACGTCTGTACTTTTATGGTATTGTATTTGAGAGTGTATCATATATATATCATATAGTATCAAACTATCAATATATCATACCTCTCTTGTGTACAAAATTGAGGCATACACAAGTACAAATGAGGCAAATATTTTTTTTTTGCCCACTTATCAAGTTAAAACTTTAGGGGTAGGTTGCGCTGGACTGCGTGCTAAAGTTTTATGTAATAACAAACAAATAACACTTTTGTAGGAGAAATACAACAGACGAATTTTCAAGTTTGGGTTTTAATGTTTCTTCATTGTCAAGGATAGCAACGTGGTATATAATGTATGGCGTCAAATTTGTATGCACCTTACTCATTGGCAACTTGGGGGAAGACACAGATGCTCTGATTTCAAGAGGAAGGTCTATTTGCAAGAATATACTGTTCTGATAAATTCTCTCTGTGTCAACGAAGAATGTCAAGGTCATGTCTCTGTAGTTTTACATTGAAGACAGTCTCAATTCTTGGGGAAAAGGTTAAAAGGTGATTTAGAACTTGATAGTGAGGGAAGCGTAGAAATTGCAGCATAGTTCATTTGGCTGAAAATGTATCACTTATTTTTAGTTATTCTCAACGACCCATGAAGTTTGTATGAAGAAAAAAATGGAGATACGTTGAGCATCCACACGTTTTGAATTGAACTCAAATAAATTTGGAGCTATTTCAGTTGTGTTTCCCTAGTCAAGCTTTGCCGGAAACCAGAGTGTAGGGGGTTGAACAAGTCCAAATATATATATTGCTGTTCTTGTACCTTTTCAAATTGTCTTTATACCTGAATTAAATTATATAACAATTCGTGATTTGCATTTGCATTAGCATGGAAGTAGTAGTGGACCAGTGGTGGGGTTACAAAGGTACTTTTCAAGCAACTAATGAGGCTTAGAGCAGATCACCATGTTTAATTATTCAGGGCCGCCAATCTTTAAGCCTTTCAAAGATGCATGGAGCAGAGGTTGTGGGAAACCAGAACACCAAGCCTAGTGCCTAAGGAAGCGACCTCAACCTTCCTACTCTTGTGCTGCTAGGAGCTATGTGTTAGAAACGATAAGCAATATAAACGACGAAGAACAGTAGATCAAACACAGGAGACACAAAATTTTAACGTGGAAAACCCTTTCAAGGAAGAAGAGAAAAAACCACGGGCACCAGCCAGCAAATCTTTACTATATCAGGTGAGGTTACAAACGTCGGGGATTTTTAACTTTTCTTTTATCCCAAGACGACGGCTTACAGGAGGTATATATAGAGATGGAAAACCCTAATAGGCGCTTCGGCCCAAGCTCCCAGCGACGGGCCTCGCTTCGCTCCGACAGAAGTTAGCCTTTATCTTGTACATAACTGAATTTGAATCACAACTCAACAAACTTCACCTTGAGACAAATTCCTTCTTGTAGCATAAAACGAACCTTCACCCTGAAACAACAAAGAAATACTTCCGGTGCCAAATAGCCTCTTGGGCTAAATAGTTATACCAACTAAGCTTGAGCAAAGCTCAAACTTAGCAACAGGAACTGGCTTTGTCAACATATCAGCAGGATTATCATGTGTGCTTATCTTGCATACCTTCAGCTTACCTTGCGCGACAACATCACGAACATAATGGTATTTGACATCAATGTGCTTCATTCTCTCATGGAACATCTAATCTTTAGTGAGACATATAGCACTTTAACTATCACAAAATAAATTAATACAAGAATCATCTCCACAAAGCTCAGCAAACAAACCTTTCAACCAAACCGATTCTTTACATGCTTCAGTAACAACCATGTATTCTGCTTAAGTGGTAGACAGGGCAACAACAGGCTGCAATGTTGCCCTCCAACTCACAGCACAACCACCAATAGTGAACACATAACATGTAAGAGATCTCCTCTTATCCAAATCGGCAGCAAAATCTAAATCCACGTAGCCAGTGAGTCCCTTATCAGTCTTGCCAAACTTCCAACAAGCATTTGTTGTGCCACGAAGGTACCTGAAAATCCACTGAACAGCCTTTCAATATTATTTACCAGGATTATCCATGTATCTACTAACCAAACTCATAGCATATGATAAATCAGGACGAGTGCAAACCATGGCATACATCAAAGAACCAACATCACTAGAATATAGAACTCTTGACATGTACTCAAAATCATCATCCGTACTAGCACATTGTAAAGCTGATAATTTAAAATGAGGAGCAACAGGAGTACTAACAGACTTTGCATCATGCATGTTGAAACGATGAAGAACTTTCTTAATGTAACTTTGCTGACTAAGAAATAACAAACCAGAATTTCTGTCTCTTGTAATCTCCATACCTAGAATTTTCTTAGCAGCACCAAGATCCTTCATCTCAAACTCACTACTCAACAGTTTCTTCAACGTAGTGATTTCTTTCTTGCTCTTGGCAGCAATCAACATATCATCAACATATAACAGCAAATATATAGGTGATCCATCAATAAATTTAATTTACACACAGCTATCAAATTCAGACCTCTTAAAACCATGTGACATCATAAAAGAATCAAACCTTTTATACCATTGACGAGGAGACTATTTCAAATCATATAAGAACATCTTTAATTTGTAAACATGATCCTCCTTACCAGGTACTATGAACCCTTCTGGTTGGTCCATGTATATCTTCTCCTCGAGCTTTTCATGTAGAAACACAGTCTTTACATCTAATTGCTCAAGCTTAAGATCTCGTATAGCAACAATACCAAAAAATGTACGAATTAAACTATGTTTTATAACTGGAGAGAACACATCATTATAATCAACACCAAAAATCTGACTGAAGCCTTTTGCTACTAACCTTGCCTTAAATCTTGGAGGCTCACTAGGAGACAAACCCTCCTTTCTCTTGAAGATCCATTTGCAACGAACGGCCTTCTTTTGTTTAGGCAAGCGCACAACATCCCATGTGCCATTTTTCTCGAGTGACTGCATCTCCTCTTGCATAGAGGAAATCCACTTCTCGTGGTCACCAAAAACAACAGCTTCAGTGTGCGTAACCGGCTCATGAATGTTCTCCACCTGTTTAGCATAACTAAAAGCATAATGAACCATATCACATTCCTCAATTAAACGTGGACGAGGTCCACAATTTTTCTTTGTTCTGCGATCTGCAATAGACTGATTTTGAGGCTGCAAAACAGGAGGTGAGTGCTGAACAATATCATGAACATTGTTATCAACAATTTCAGTTTCCTGATCATCTACGTGCTCTCACCTGCACGCTAACATGCTGCTGCTCCTCATCAGAACCAACTGGAGAAACATCTGGAGAAACATCTGTAGACAAGTTGTCATTAAACATAACAGATTCATTAAAAACAACGCTCCTGCTCATGAAAGTCTTTTTAGTTTCAGGATTCCATAACTTATATCCTTTAACTCCAGAACCATAACCAAGAAACAGACATCTAATGGCTCTAGGTTCTAGCTTTCCATTATCAACATGAGCATAAGCAGTGCAACCGAAAATTCTCAACTGTGAATAATCAGCAGGCATACCAGACCATACCTTAATGGGAGTTTTCTTATTAAGTGGGATAGAAGGTGACCAGTTGATCAAGTAACAGGCGATGTTAGCAGCCTCAGCCAAAAACGTCTGTTCATATGAGCATTGGACAGCATGCAACGAGCCCTTGAGATGATGGTCCGGTTCATGCGCTCAGCCACACCATTTTGCTAAGGAGTGTATGGGATGGTGTGGTGCCTGATAATGCCTTCTTCCCTGCAGTAATCATTAAAAATATCCGAACAGAATTCACCACCATTGTCAATACGAAGCAATTTTACCTTCTTTTCAGTTTACCTTTCTATTGTAACTTTTCACTCTTCAAAAGCAGCAAAAGTATCATCTTTATTTTTCAGAAAGTAAGGCCACACTTTTCTAGAGTAATCATCAATAATGGTAAGCATGTAACGAGCACCACCATAAGAGGGCTTACGAGATGGCCCCCACAAATCAACATGTACATAATCAAGTGTACCTTTGATGGTATGAATAGATGCATTGAATTTTATCCTCTTGTGCTTACCAAAAACACAGTGCTCACAGAACTTCATCTTACCCACAATGTAGCCATCCAGCAGGTCTCTCTTGATCAATTCTACCATACCAAGTTCACTCATATGCCCAAGATGCATATGCCAGAGATTAGTCTTATTTGGTTCATTATTAGAAACAGTAGCAGCAGTGACGGAACCATGTAAAGTACTTCCTCTAAGAACATATAACTTTACATAATTCATATCACCTATCATATGAATGAGAGAGCCTTTTGATACCTTACACACTCTACCTGAACTGGAGTGTTTGTACCCCTCGGCATCAAGTGTGCTGAGGGAGATGAGATTTTCTGGCCATCCCTGGTATGTGTCTCACATCTTTCAGTGTGCGTATTATGCCATCATGCATCTTGATCTGAACGGAGCCAATGCCCACGATCTCACGTGGGTTGTTATCTCCCATACGCACTGAAAGGATCAAGATGCCCAAGAGGGGGGGTGAATTAGGCTAATTCTAAATTTCTTTGCAATAATTAAGTCCTACAGTTAGCCCAATTAACCTCTTATGCCTAGAAAGTGTTTCTATTGAACTAACGCACAAAAGACTTGCAACCTAAGTTCCAATCCTACTCTAGCATGGCAATTCTATGAATGTAAGAACAAGAATTGAATTGCTCAATGTAAATGCTTAAAGTAGATGCTCAAAGTAAATAGAGAGAAGAGAAAACAGCGGCGATGTTTTGCCGAGGTATCGCAGAGTTGTCACTCCCACTATTCCTCGTTGGAGCACCCGCGCAAGGGTGTAGCTCCCCCTTGATCCGCGCAAGGATCAAGTGCTCTCTACGGGTTGATTCTTCGACACTCTGCCACGGTGAATCACCCACAACCGCTCACAACTTGAGTTGGGTCATCCACATGCTCTCCGGATGATCACCAAGCTCCAAATCACCACCAAGACGTCTAGGTGATGGCGATCACCAAGAGTAACAAGCATGAACTCTCACTTGACCACGACAAGCCTAATGAGATGGGTGGATGCACACTTTGCTACTCTTGATCTCACTAATGAGGGCTCTCTTTGGGATTCACAAATCTAAATCACCTCACTAGGACCTTGCTCTTCTTGGCACTCTCAAACGTGTTTCTCAGCTGTTGGAATGAGCAAAAGTACCCCCACACACGAGTGGAGGTGGTATTTATAACAAGGGCTAAAAAACGAACTGTTATGTGCCTCTGTGGGGTGACCGGATGCTCCAGTCATGTTGACCGGATGCTTCGGTCAGTATACCTCGAACTCCAGTGTTTATAGTGTGACCGAACGCTGGCCAGCGTCCGGTCAGCACTGACCGAACGTGTCCGATCGTGATTTTCCCTCTCTGGAACCTTACCGGAGTCGACCGGACGCTGCCTTTCAGCGTCCGGTCACATGACCTCTCAACGTTCGGTCGCGCCAGACGCAATCACCTTGGTCAAATGAACTGACTGGACCCTGAGCCAGCGTCCGGTCAAACCGGAGCCAGCGTCCGGTCAGTAATTGACTCTCCATTCACTTCCAACACTCGATCATATGTGAATGAAGTTTGCTCCAATGGATCTTAGGCATATTTAGGAGCTACCTAGTGCTAGTTTCAACAAGTGTGCACCACACCTAACTCACTAGACTCACCTAGGTCAAGCTACCCGTCCATACCCCCCTTAATAGTACGGCCAAAGGAAAAAAAAAAAAAGTCCTAAACTACTCTAAGTGTCTCTTCAACTCCAATCGACACTTAGAACTAGTCCATCCATAACCTTGTCGTCCATCCTTTAAAAATCGAAACGATTTCCATCGTAGGGGCATGACCACCTTGATTGCCCAATCAATCTCCATTACCATATCCTAACTTAATTGCCTCTGCAAAACACACGTTAGTCATAGTAATCTTATATTGTCATTAATCACCGAAACCCAACTAGGGGCCTAGATGCTTTCAATCTCCCCCTTTTTGGTGATTGATGACAATACCACCTCGAGTATGTGTAAGAGTTGAGGTTTTTAACATGCTTGGATCATATAAGCTTTTGTCAATAAGAACAAAAGTGTTAGGCAAGCTTATATGACCCAAGCCAACGTGATGTACTCAAAAGATATGATGTAAGCATGAGTACAAGTAATAAAGCTCATTTGCATCGAAGTAAAACGCGGAAGCAAAGGCAAATGAGCATAACACAAGTGATATGACATACAAATAATTCAAAGTAGAGAGCACGCATGTCATATATCACGATCACGTAGATATCACTATCACATAAATATAGTTTTAATGCATAAGAGTAAACACATGACGAATGCATAATAGTGTATCACACATAAAAACTCCAAATGTAATAGATAAGCTAATATAATAACTAAGCTCCCCCTAAAAATGTCGCTCCCCCTAAGGCTAACATACTCGATCCCTCTCCCCCTTTGGCGTCAAACACCAAAACCTAAGGATCGGTCGGCGGGGCTGTAGCGGATGAGCCGGGCGCTGAGGTACGAGGAGCGAGCTGGAATTGAGTGCCATCATCATCTGACCCTGAGCTTTGAGCTGTCTGACCCTCTGAAGCTGGAAGTGATGCTGAAGCAGTCTGGGTCGGATCAGGGACTAGAGCTGCTGAAGGCTGTGCTGGTACGACTGAAGCAGCTGGCTCTGATGATGCCACTGAGGAAGGGAGCATCTCTGTCGTGCCTGTCACTGGAGCAATGGTGGTAGGGACAGGGATATGAAGATCTGGCGGTGTAGGGTGCCCTGTCAACTCACTGAAGGATGCACCAAGGCTCTTAGACACTGAGGTCTCTAGCACTAGCTGCGAGGATGTCTCTGCCGGTGAGAAGCCCGTACGAAATGGTGTGAACTACGGGGCTAGCAGTGATGTAGCAAACCACTAGGACACCTGCTCTATAGGAGAAGCAAACTGTGCTGGTGGCTGTCCCTGACTCTGAAGCCCACTGGGACACCTACTCCAAGAAGCTACTGCTGCATAAGGATCTGCTACTAATGCATGGCCTGCTGCTGCTGCTGAAGAGCCTGCGTCTGCTGATGTATAGCTAGCTGCTGCTGGATCGCCTGCTGCTGGCACTGAAACTCATCCTGACGAGTCTGGAACTGAGCAAATGTAGCAGTTGTCTCCTGTGCCTGGCGAGCCTGATCCTGCCTCATCCGCTCAAGTATAGCAAGGAGAGCGGGGTCTGTCTACGAGGCAGGTGGCGCTAAACTGGAGCTGCCAGCCTCATGGTCATGTCGCTGAGGAGGCATCCATGGAATGGGCTGGTAGTCATCATCAGAACTGTCACTGGGGTCGCTCACGACCATCCCCTCCTGCTGAGCAAGCTCCTCCTCCTCGGTAGCTGCAATACCCCTGATGATCTCATCCTGCTAGGCTACAGACTCTAACACATCAGGACGACGGCGCGGCTGACTAGGTGTTGTAGGTGTACTGTGCCGAATCATCTGTGTCATGTTATAGGTAGGGAACTCTATCGTAGCACCACTATACTCTGCAAGCATCTCAGGTGGCCTAACTGTGACTGCTCTGTGGATAAGGAATGTGATCCAGTGAGCATAGGGTAGCTGCCTGCGACCTCTGAAGCCCTCAGCAATAGTGTCCTCCATCTTAGACAGAAGAAGATCCCAAATATCAAAAACTATCTGCTGCATCAGAGAGTTGATCAGCCACAACTATATGTGAGTCAAGCCCTCGTGATACCCCATCCTCGGTAGCAGCGTCCTCCTCATGATAGCCTCTAGCACTCTGGCAGTAGGAGTAAGGTCACTGGGGTTCCTGCGTGATCCTTCGCCGAAGGGCTCGGTGAAGCAGTGGCGAACCAAGTCAGTAGGGGGCACATTACCACCATGTGGATGTCTAGGAGGCACTGTCTATCCATAGCAAACCTCATGAAGTCTGATTGGCTGCTCCTGAAGCCTCAGTATCTCCCTGCCCCTAGTACTCGTCAGCCGGTAGTCTCTGCCTCTAAATGCAAAGTATATGAAGTTATGATGCGGGTCAATAAAGAGAGAAGCATAGAACTGACGGACCCAAGATGGAACATATAAACCGGTCCGTCCAATCAGATTTGTCAACCCCGATAGATATGCAAGGTAGGGGCGAATGTGCTCTCCTGCTGCTGCAACTATAGAGCCAATATGGCACACCCTCTGAGATCTAAAAACTGCACCACTATTGAGATAAGTATTGTAGAAGTCCTCCTAGAGTGGTGTGTAGAAACCCTCTGAAGCTCTCTCATCTCTCCTCGGCGGGAACCACACCTCAAAATCCACGAACCTCAGCTGTTGCACCTGCTTGGCCGTGGCGGCCCTCAAGTCAAGATGGGTCACTGGAGGTGGACCCTGTGGTCTAGGAGGTGGACAAGAACCCCTCCACTGAGTGTCCGGTCTAGGTGTAACTGGAGCACGGGTACGGCTAGAGCGGCGTAACTGTGACTGTGGTGCCTGCTCTGTCTCCTCTGCCTGCTGA